ATGAATGTATGTGTACTCATTTGTGCAGTGTCAGTGAAAGTCAGAAGAAGATATCAGATTCTCCTGGAACTAGAGTTATAGACAGTTGTTAGCTGCCATATGAGAGCTGGGAATCAAACCCAGGTCCTCTGAAGGAGCAACCAATGCTCCTAAGCAGTGAGCCACCTTTCCACCTCTTTCACTTTCTTACCTTAATGTGCTTGTTTTTCTCATTGTAAGACTCTACGCCAAAGAAATACTTAACAGAAACACACAAGCATGTGTTCAAGGGTGCTCATGTTATTTTTTGCATTAGCAAGGAAATAAAAGTCTCTGAGTGGGTTAAATAATTTGTGTATGTCTATACTGTGGTTGCTGTGAGCTGGAAAAATGCTGACAGACCAGAATGAATGAACATGGAAAGATCTCCAAAGTATGTTGTACTACTAAGGCTTAGGGCTCATGGGGATACAGATTCCTACATGTTTGAAAAATCTCCTGGAGAAAGGGCTAGAAAGAAAATTTCATATCACTGGGCTCTGGGCTCCCAAACAACCCTTCACTGGAGGATCGGGTCATATAAAGCATGCACATTTGTGTCCTGTCCTTTTCTGACCAAAATTTCATGCTGTTACTTAGACTAAATCAGGGATCATGTGCATTTTCCACAAAGATGTGGTAGACTCAGTGTAGCCAGCGCAGTCATTTTCGTCAGTATAACTGACGAAGGCTCACATGACCTGCAATCAGATTCTTTTGGGCTTTTTTTTTTTGACAATTTCATACAAGAGTACTATATTTGCATCATTTCCTCACCTCACTTCCTCCTTTCTATTCGTCCCATAATCTCCCTGCTCTCTCCCAATTTCCTGTCCTTTAATTTATATATAAATTAACCTGCTGAGTCCATTTAGTGATGCTTGTATATATGCGTGTTAGGCATGACCATTTGGGATTAGATAACCTATCAGGGAACTCATTCCTGGAGAAAACCAATTTTCCCTCTCTCAGAACCACTGATTGCCTATAACTTCACCTAGAAGTGGGACCTTGTGAAATTTCCTCCACCCATGTTGGCGTATCAACCGGTGTTGCTGTTATGCAGGTCTTAGGCTATATTGCCGAGATGTCCTGGGTTCAGCTTCCCTGTTTTGTCTGGAAGACACTATCTAGAAGCAGGCATCCTGGTCCTCTACCTCTTAGAATCTTTCCACCCCCTCTTCTGCAGTGTCCTTGAGCCTTCATTGTAGATGTATCAGTTGGGGCTGGGCACCCCAAGGTCACCGATTCTCTGCATTCTGACCAGTTATGGATCTCTGGACTAGTCTCCATCTGTTACAAAAAGAAGCTTCTTTGATGGGGGATGAAAGCTACACATGTCTGTGGGTATAAGGATAAATATTAGAATACAGTTAGAAATTGTATTTGTTTAGGGAAATTGCAGTACATTCAGCTGTAGGGTGTATGCCCTCTCCAGCCATGGGTACTTGGCTGGGTTTACAGTACCAGGCATGATTTCCCTTCTATTAGACAGTCATTGGTTACACCCTCCCAAGCCCCAGAAGAAAATACTGCTACTGCACCATTAGGACTATCTTGCTGGGTCAGTCATTGTTGTGATTTGTAGACTTCAAAGCTGGGTAGGACCATTGTTTGCTTTTCTTCCCTGGCAACTTGCATAGCACCTACTGATACTATGAGAGCTGGTCCAAAAGGGAAGGGGAAGACTTCCATGTCAGTTCCAGCTTCGATTTCTCTAAGTGGAGAAAGTATGTGTCCAAAGTATGTGGTGTCTTCAGCAATAAGGTCTTATCTTTAAGTTCTGGGAGGCAACCAACGGCTTTGGAAATAGCCTATATTGTTTGAGGAGTCTGTCAGACTCCCCTGGCCAACAACTCAAAGGGAGGTTTCCCATGCCTGGCACTAGCATCTTGGTTAGATAATCTATAGTTCTTGTGAGGGGCATTATCAAATGGCTAACTCCATTTGAACTATATTTGTGTATATTGTATGTGGGGTTTTTTTGGTCTTTTTGAGACAGGGTCTCCCTATAGCCCCTGCTGGCCTGGAACTCACTATGTAGGCCAGGCTGGCCTTGAACTCAGATCTGCCTGCCTCTGCCTCCCCATAATGTATATTATTAAGTAAGCTTATAAAATAATGTTTCTCCGAGGTTTTTTCAAACATCCTTGGTGTTATCTCTCTTTCTCCCTCTCCCTCTGTTACTCTTCCTCCTCCCTTCCTGAAGTCCCCCCATTTTTCCTGTTTCCCCCTTGATAGCACTTGTGCGCTATTATCCCACTCTCTAGAGAGCCTTCTCTCAAACTTCCTTCCCCTCCCCCATGGCCTCCATCAACCTTCCTAGCTTCAGCTGTTACTGGAGGGTATATACTCCTAAAGATTTGGAACTAAGACCCACAAGTAAGAGAGAACATATACCCTTTGTCTTTCTAGGTCTGGGCTACCTCACTCTCACTCAGTAGACCATTTTCCAGTTCCATCTATTTACCTGAAAAGTCCATTATTTTATTTTTCTTTACCGATGAATGGAATTCAATTATGTGTGTGTTCTCCGTTTTCCTTATCCATCCACCAGCTGAAGGACATTTAGGTTCTTTTTACTTCCTAGCTCTTGTGAAGAGTGGCAATGAATGAACGTGGCTGAGCAAGTTTCAGTGCAATAGGACACTGAGTCCCTTGGGTATATGCCGAGGAGTAGAATAGCTGGGTCATAGGGTAGGTCTACTTTTAGCTTTTTGAGAATTCTTCAAAATATGTCATCAAATTCTTAATTTAACACTGATTCAATCTCTGACTTAAAATTTTACCTGTGTAGGCTTGACTTTCCTTCTCTATGTGTTGAAGAAGGGGGACAAAGACAATCTCCACGGTCTCTTAGTTGTAGGATGTTGGTCTACTACTTCAAAGAGTGTACAATTTTAGCAAGAATAACAACTGCTATTCTTCTTAATGATTGCCATGTTAAAAGCACTGTTCAAGGATCCTTATGTGTACTAATCATTGTGTCATGGAGACTCTATGAAATTAATACTATATCTACTTTACAGAAGAAGACACTAAGGTCTGGAGATGAAGTAGGCTATCCTGAAACCACACAGCTCTAACAATGTAGAGCTGGACCCAATTTCCAGGCAGTGTGATTCCAGAATCTATGATCGGCACCAGTCTGTGATGCTGCAATGGGAGGGTTTTGTCTTGCTACATGATTGAAATGTTCATTAAAACAAAAACAATTGCACTGAGGAAAAAAATGTGGAAAGCCAATATAAAAAGTATAGGTGAAATTATCTGTAAGAGAACAATGCAAAAGTGAAGCAAAAGTTCTTATATGGACATTTTATATTTCTTTGATATACTATAATGTGGTCGTAGTGACATACCTCGATGTAACAACAAATGCAAAAAAAAATGCCTCTGCTAAAGCATTCTTAAAGATTCTTTTCTCTGCAGATAACAGCACCAGGCATACCCTTACATTGATGCTCTCAATTTTAATTTCACAGATGAAAGAACTTGGTGTCATCTTCTACAACTGCAGCTGCCTGGTCCTAGATTTACAAAGGATATTTGCTTTATATAGCTCATTAAAATTCAAGAGCAGAGTGCCTCAGACCTGGTCCAAGAGACTCTATGGAGTCTATGACAGTGAAAGGAAGTTGCAGCTTCAGTTGAATGAAACCAAATCACAAGCCTTTGTGTCGGTGAGTCCTATGCTCTCCCTGCCTCCCTTCCTCTCTTCCTCCAAAGCCTTTGTATACTCCTTCTCCCTCCAGCTTCTCCCACATCCCCCTCCCAACTTCATGTGTTTTTTTATACCTTTTGGGTCCAGCTAGTGCTTCCCACATGCCTATTGGTGTGGAGCCATGAGCAACTCACAAGAGGCCATACCTCTGAGGAAAACTGGCTTTCCCTCTCCCAGCAGCTCAGATAAGGGCAGGGCCTCATAAGCCCTTTTCCTATCCATGCTGGAATGTTGATTGGCTTGATCCTGCACAGGTCTTATGCAGGCAACCACACTGCTTGGTGTCTGTGAGTCCTATAGCCCTATCATGTGCAGAAGACAGAATTTCCCAACAGTCCTCCCCAACTTCTCTTACAGTCTTTCTGTACCTTCCTCTGCAGTGTCCCCTGGGTCTTGGAAGAAGGGGGTACAATCAATGTCCCACTGTGACTATTTTACAAATGAAGACACCGAAACTTTCCATAGCACAAAGTCCATCACATGGGAATACCACATGAGTGCCAGTGCCCAGGTCTGGTACTGTAGCAGATGAGCCCATTCCCTGTGCCCATCATCAGTGATTTCCAGATGTTTTAACAGTGGAATTCTTCAATGAGACAAATTAGAGGGGACCCCCAGTGTATAAAACAGACAAAAGAGGGGCTGGAGAGGTGGCTCCATGGTTAAGAGCACTGGCTGCTCTTGCAGAGGATCCACATGATGATTCTCAGTGCCCACATGATAGCTAACAACCATCTGCTAACTCCAGTTGCAGAAGAATCCAACACCAGCTTCTGACCTCCATGGTCATTGCATGATATAGGTGCACTTACATACATGCAGACAATACATTCATACACATAAAGATAATAAATAAAATACTTTAAAAAAAGAAAAAGACAAAAGCCAGAGCTGCTGGATTTTCTTGGGGCTGGAAGGCAGCAGACCCTCTTGACTGGACAAGACTCCTCCCCTAATTTCTGAGTCTTCTGACTCTAGTAAAAACCAGAACCCCATTTTCACCTCCCTTTTTTATCACCCCACTACTGACCCCATTTGTACTGTCACTAGGAACAGGGGTATATGTATCTGGGCCTCCAACCCTAGTCCTTAAAGTTTAGAACACCTAAGAATCAACCAGGGAGCCTGTTCTATTTCTCATTTATAGGCCCCAGTCTCTACCTAAGACCATATCTACTGCATCTGGGATGAGACCTTACAAGTCTGATTGAATAATGCTTCTGAATTCATCCTGATTTCTCAGAGAAACTTCTCTGCATCATGTTCCCAATTTACTATTGCTCTTTCTTCCTGGAATGGTATCAGTGTGTTTATACCAACAACACTTATGTACTAAAGAGAACTTTATGAGAACGTTAATTCATTCTTTTTACCTTTTAACATGAAAATACAATCTGAATATTTAGAAGTGCAGTAAAAAGGCTAGAGAGATTTTTCAGTGGTTAACAGCACTGACTACTCTTCCAGAGGACCTGGGTGCGGTTCCCAGCACCCACATGGCAGCTAACAACTGTCCCTAACTCCAGTTCCAGGGGATCTGATACTTTCTTCTGACCTCTGCAGGCATTGCACACCATGGCTACACTTACACACAAGCAGGCAATACACTCATACACGTAGAGTGAAAAATAAAAAAAGAACAAGGTCAGAAGTCTTGCCTTCAGAACTGAGCTTCTTCCTTTCATTATAACATTAATCACATTTTAGCAAGTATTTGTTATCATTTCCCCATAATTTTATAAGGCTCCGAAGATTGCATACTATACCCATTTCATGATTGATATTCCCAGCACCTCACTTGGTACTTTGAAAGCAGCAGTAAAATGTTCAACTAAATTTCTTGGCAGTAATATTGATGGAAAGTTCTAGAATGCACATAGCTTTTACAGGAACATATACCAAGCCAATGCCAAGACAAACTAAATTAAGTTCAATGTATTTGTTGTAAAGCATCTTAAAATACTACATCATATTTTTGTAAACTCACAATTCCAAAACTAAGTTGAACACACATGGAGAATATTTGAAGACCTTAAAAATAACCATTCCCAAAATCAGAGATTTGATCATTCCTAACTTAGACAAATATAAATTTCAAGTTACAATATAAATAGGGATTATTTTTAATTTTCTCATGGACCACAAGTTGACACTTAGTAAATTTGTCTATATGACTTATAGTGACTCGGTACCAGAAAATTGTAATTACCACACATTTCCCATTGAAATCAGACAGCAGTAAAAGATGACTGAGTTTATGTCTCATAGATTTCTTTGTACAGCCCTTAAAATAATGCCCCTGAAGAAAGTATGCATTTGCTCTCTAGGACTCTTAGTGAGTTCAAGACTCTGAGTGTTAAACAGGTTTCATTTTATTGATATGAGTGTTAAAAAGGTTTCATTTCTTGTTATTATTTGGTTCGTCCACCCATCAGTCATGTAGACTGAGATATATCTGCAGAGACAGGAAGACATTGAATAGAATTTGGTGCCACTATGGAAAAAATACCATCTGATATTCCTTTTTAAAACTTCCACTGTGCCAGGCATGGTGGCACATGCTTATAATTGCAGTACTCAGGAGATAGAGGCAGAAGGAGCTCTGTAAAATGGAGGCTAACCTGGTCTACATGGTGAGTTCCAGACACGAGATGCCTCAAGAGTTCCTGATTGGTAAAAGAGAGCCAAATTATAAGACCATGTCTGATTCTCACCTACTTTAACTGTGGAACAAAGGAATACACAATACCAGGCTCTTAAGATCTACTCTAGAGTGCTAAGAGGGAAACATAACAGCCATCTCTCTATACAGTTATTAGAGTAGTACATTGTTCTTTTGTGTTGTTATGTACGAGGCAAGCATTTTTAAGGCACTAGTATATCCAGGCACTATTTACAAAGAACTGTGGGACCCATCTGGAACACACAGGGGAGTGCCACCAAGGCCCCAGGTACAAGGACACTAGTATAAACAATCATGCACTCCCTTAACACCTGGAGCACCTAACAAGTCCCAGGTATTGTGTTAGGCAAAAAAGAGCACAGGAATCAGTAAGGTAGATAAATGTTAATAAAGACATTCACATGTGTTTGGAAAAACTATAATGAAGCAACTTCCACTAGACACGGAGGTTGGATGAGACATTCCACACGTATTAATTTATGAAACACATTCATATTCATTCCAGGAACACTTGGGGGGCATTAGGTATGTGCACGGTACAAGGTTCAAGAGCTAGGCAAAATCTAGTGGCTAAGAAACATATAAACAAATGAGGTAATGCCATATGTTGGGTGCTAGAGGGCAACTGCACAAAGCACAGATCTTACCTTGATCATTGACAGATGCCACATGCTTAGACCTGAGCCTGGAGCATGACAGGCACTGGGAAATATTGCTGACTGACTGACAGCAAGCCCAGCACCCAGCCAGGGAGCAGACTGTTCTCTTATTTGATCCTCAAGGTGAAGGTGTTAAGAGGTTGTTATTCTTATTAACCCCTTTAAAAAAAAAAAAAAAAAAAAAAAAAAGACTTTCCAGGCCTGATGGAACACTATGATTACAGGCCTGCAATCCCATTACTTGGAGACAGAGACTGGAGGATTGCTATAACTCCAAGGCCAGCATAGGCTACATAGAGATTTCCAGAACAGCCGGGGCTACACAGTGAGGCTCTCTCTCACAAAAGGAAGGAGAGGAGAGAGGAAGAAAAAGGAAGGGGAGGAGAGGGTAAAGGCAGGGAGGAAGGGAGGCTTAAAGATAGAAGGCATATACTAATCCCCTCAGGGTACAATCTGGCCTGCATCTCCAAATGCTTGCTCTACCCTTGAGATTAGGGTGCATTGTTGAAATGTGTATATACTGTAATAGCTAGGTAGAGAGGCCACCAGTCACTGTTTACCCAAAGTCACTTCTCTCCAAAACCAAAACCCACTTTGGGATCCCAGGATGAAATTCAGGAAGTTCTTAAGTAAAACAAAAACATGGGCATTTGGACACATTTCAGAGTCTAGTGACCTGTCCAGAGAAAAGCTCCTTAGCTGCTCCATGGAACCCTGAGTCATAGTTAAGACAGACGCAACTGGCTGAGGAAATTAAATCATTTAAGTGTATAATTTTTTTAATGGTATAGGAAAATGAATAAAACACAACCCCTACAATCAAGCTAGAAGCAGTCTAGAGAGTCAAATGCAAGCAATTACACATTTGAATATGCTAAATAAGAAAGGAAATCAATTCTGGAAGTGGAGTGTGGTAAAGGTTGCACAGCAGTATCAGTATACTTGAGGCTATTGAATAGCAGGCTTACAAAGGATTCAAATGGGGCTGGGGCTGTTGTTCAGTGCTAAAGTGCTTGCCTAGCAATAGCAAAGCCTGGGTTCGATCACCAGCACAGGGAGAGA